GAACGTGAACATTAAGGGGACAATTCACTAAGCGGTATTTTACCGAATCTGAGTATGAGGTAAGATACCACACAGGTATTAAAATTCCGCATGTTTTATATTACTAAGGCATGTGGTATTTTAGTAGTGAAAACATTCTTTCATGTTTCAGCTGATAGTGGGGTTCCCTGCTGACAGCTGAATGTAAAAAAACATTTCCTGGCAATTAAAAAATTAAATTCATACCAAGCCCCCAGATCCCCCCATGTGAATGAGTATGGGGTACATGGTACCGCTACTCGCCCACAAAAAAAAAAGTGTAGTGTAAAAAAAGACTGTCTTTGACAAGTCCTTTATTAAAAACAAAAATAAAAAAATATCTCTTGAGGTAGATCCAAAGTCAATCAGGTTGCCCGCCACCACCGCCAACCCGAAAAAAAGAAACAAAGAAACTGCTCTGTTCTTGATGCTGGCTCCCACCTTCTGACAGCTGCGCCAGGATGACAGTTCTTAAATGCTGTGATGATGTCACCCCCGCCCCCTTGTGACATCATCATGCACTGTGATTGGCCAAAGCAATGCACCAGAACTGTGGTCAGGTGCATTGCTTTGACCTATCATAATGCACTATCAGGGCGCAGTGCATTGCGGGGCATGTTGTCGAACACACGAACAGACGATGTTCGAGTCAAACTTGAACATCATGCCCAACACTAGAAATTTACATTGTGTGGGTTATATATATATATATATATATATATATATATATATATACATTTCTATACCCTTCCTTACAAAATACATTGACAGGATGAATTAAGAACTGCATGGCTCTCACTTAATATAGAGGCATATTGTCAATAAACAGGAAATTGCTTACTCAAACTTGAAGTCATTCTTATTTGAATGATGTAGAGCACTAATTACCATTGCCATCTGTATAGAATGAATTTATTAGTGTTAATTATTGTATTCTTTGTAACGTGATTAATTAATTAGTGCTCATTATTCCTTTTTTGTTACGTGATGATTTTAGTTTTTCATTAAGTGTTAATGTATGAAATGCATTTTCTAATCATTTATTGTACATTCTGGGATGAAGTAAATGGTCACATTTTTTCATAACTATTTAAAGCTTTGTGGTGGAAAGGAACTGTAGTCTTTCAAAGCTTTATATTATATACAGTATACTTGTGAAAGTCACAAGTAGTAGAATAAATCCTATTCTTCCAGTTCTTGCAGCCCCTTCCCCACTGTTTTGCTATTAACCTCTGCTATTGTCTAATCCAACTGTATTTCTACTTTGTCCTCTTTTGCTCTCCTAACCCCCTGCACCTCCCTAGAACCTCCTCCAAATGTTTAATTAAAGCGGAGTTCCATCTGACGAAAAAAAAAAAAAAAGTCAACAGCTACAAAAACTGTAACTGCTGACTTTTAAAATACAGCCACTTACCTGTCCCTCGGTCCAGTAGTGTCCTTACCACCGCTGGTTTCACTGGTCGTCCTCTCTCCCTGGCACCGGCATCTTCAGTGTAGGCACTCGGCTGTGATAGCTTGCGGCTTCACAGCTGAATGCCCACTGTGCATGCGTGAGAAGCGATGCGCTTTGTGAATGGCCCCTAGTCTTCTGGGACATGTCATGTGTCCCAGAAAAAAACTATGGGGAGGGAGGGGGGGAGGACAACTTCCGCTTCTGATCGCCTAGGCGATCGCAGTAGAAGTGGGAGCGGATACCTGTCAAATTCGGGTACCCACTCCCCAAAGGTGCCAATCCTTAATGGGGATCGGGAGACAAAGGCTTAAAGCAGAACTTCCCTTTTTGGGTGGAGCTCCACTTTAATTTTCTCCCAACGCAGCTGCACCCTCACCATTGTGGGTTCTGATCCTGTTTCATGATGTTGCACAATGTCTTTAACTTGGGCTCCGTTCACACCTATGCAGCTTGCTTTTTGTCCATTTTGCAGTGCTTTTCGCAATTCATTTTGTGTTTTTGTACACTCACTTTTGCCACGTTATTACTGCATTTTGTTTAGCCCTTTTTTTTTTTTTAAAGTGGAATTTTTTTGTTGCCGGGCAGAATAAAAATGCAAAACTCAAAACATGGCAAAAACATGGCAAAAACACACTACCATGCAATTCAGCAGCTTCTCCATTGAACTCTATTGTAGCAAAATTGCTGCTTTTCGCTTTAAAAAAAGTCTCTGACTCTTTCCAAAAATGCAGCAGCTCACAAAAGCATAGATGTGAACATATTTCATAGAAAACCATGTTAAATGGACTGTAGCGTAGAATGTTCTGCAAAAAGCACTGAAAAACTCATTGGTGTGAACAGAGCCAAAAACTTTAAATTTAAAGACCCTGACTCTTTTTTTTTTGCTGTCTGCAAAAGAACGTTAGAGGAAAGCTCTAAAAAATAAGTTGTTAGCACAGGAACAGAGGGACCCATTGGAAAATGTTCTCTATTTTCCTGTTCTGGTGACAAAGGTAACATTTTGGATTTCACCTCACTTTCTATCTCAGTGACTGTGGCTAGCATAAATAGAGAGGATGAATCTCTCCAGCAGGGACACAGTAATCAATAACAACTTGACATGGGTTCTAATTCTTCCCTACTTTATCTAAAACTAAAATTAAATGTTTGGCTATACATACACTTTCATTTACGGTATATCTTGGAAATTTTTGACTAACTTGAAGACACCATACCAGGGTTTTATCTTGTGTTACTTCACCATTTATTTTTAGTGATTGTTTAAGCAAAATATTAAAATATCTGTAGACCCAATTATTTTTTAAGTCTTTACGTTTGTCATTTAACATTTATTACAGGGATTTCTAGATGCTGTTCCGTTGCAGACACTTTGGTGCCCATCTTCTAAAAATTAGCAGTGCTGTGTCATCGTTTGCAGAAATGTTGCAAATAATATCTCTGTGAATGTTTTTAATTGACAACTAAAGATTCTAGTATGACACCCTAAACAAGTACCACATGTATATACTATGTGATGCACAAACCTCATAAAGAAAAAAAAAACCAAAAAAATTGTATTTACCATACTAGACTGTGCCAATTATTTCTTGCTTCACATGCTCCCCTTCTTAGACACTGCAGCCTATAAGAGGAGGGTTTCAGCAACAGAGACCATGCTGTCAGTCCAGAATACAATGGGCAGAAATAGATTTGGCCATGTGCTGAATGACAAGTTACAGGCTTGTCAAAAAGCACTGATAATGCTGGTAGCCATATCTCTCACAACATTTTTCCAAACTCAAGTGCAAGCAGGCACAGCCTAAATAAAGCATCAACTCTGCTCTTAACTCAGAAGCAGTTCAACATTGTTGCACACACCATCACAGGACGCTGGATTCCTGAAGTCACTGACAGAAACAACAGGTGTTTGTGGGATTTTGCAAGGAGACAATTGTAAGGCCGCATTCTATTTGGCATTGCACTACTTTGCTGGCAATTGCGCTGTCATGCAACACTATACCCAAATTACATTTAGAAAAAATATTTATTTATTAGTACTAGTGATGACGGTGATCAGTGACTTATAGCGGGACTGTGATAGTGTGGTGGCCAATCTGACACTAACTGACGCAGGTTGAGAACTGACTAAATGACACTGACATCTCCAGTGACACTAATACAGTGATCAGTGCTAATAATATACACTGTCACTGTACTAATGTCACTGGCTGGGAAGGGGTTAAAATTTAGGGGCAATGTAATGTGTGTAATGTGTTACTGTGTGGTGTTTTCACTAAGCAATGTGCTGGTTTTTACTCAATTTGTGGTTGATCGTTGGTGCAGGAGAGGTCTGATTCACTCTGAGTCATATGCTCCAGTTTTATGAACTTATATATTACATTAAGCTGTGGTCATGTGCAATGCTTTGGCCAACCACAATGCACTGTCAGGGTGCAGTGATTTGAGGGGTCGGCAGGCGAACAGCCCGCCACGTGCCTGTAACATTGGTGTGTTCAATGAACTCACAAACTGCCCATGTTCAACAACACGAACATCATGCCCATCATTATTGTGAGCGGCACACCCCCTATGATTATGTGCTATTGCATGAAATGCATCAGTGAGGAGCTACAGTGCAGTGATGTCAAGCCGCCGTCGCCATGTGGGTCTCGGGGGCCATCTTTGATCCATGTTATCTGGTCAGTAATTGTTTTCTTTTTGCTTTTACCTGCTTGCTGGATGCAATAAACCTAACATATTGGAAACAATATCTATGGCTCTATGTGAGCTTCCCACTACCCACAGAGCCACATGAAACGAGGTTAGAGCCATGGCTGACAGCTGAGTGAGCAGGGAGCAGCAGCAGACCCGACCACATTCCAGAGGAAATTCCAGCTAACAATTAGAGTGTTATATCTTAAATGCGCATATTGATTGCGCATCTGGTGAGTGCGCAGTCTTTTACCAGTTTGGACACACCTTCACCTTTGAATATATTATCAGATTCTAAGGATCCTTGTGATCTTCCATGCACCTAACCCACTGGGATATTGTAGACTATATACTCACATACATCACTATGTATGATTAGTCACAACGCAGTGACATGGATTATTAACTATATACGTGGATTATATGTTTTGCACTTTACTGTATGCACCATTGTGTGTCACTTGCAGTGACAAGTATCATTGAACACTCTGAGTCACGTCGTTTATTTATATATTTATTAATTAAGCACTTCATTATTAAGTCACCTTCTGCTTATGTTTACATACATTGTTTTGTGATATTCTTCCATTCAAGCGCTGCACCCATTGTTTATATTGTGATTTTGAGGTTGTTTGGTGCCTTTTGGTGTTCAGTGGCTGTAGTGACTTTTAGCGCTGACTTATCCACTAGTTTTTATCCAGTTTTTAAAGATAAGCACAGGAGAACCTCCCAAATGCCCAGAAGGCACTGAAAAGTGGTAAATTATTAACTATTTCAGACTGTTTCAGACAAATACACAGAGTAGAAGCAGACACAGCAGTATGTTTTGACTTTAGCTAGGTGTGAGTTGCTCATTAACATTTCTTTTGTTTCCAAGAATGGGAAAGGTGTCTGGTGGGGTGAGTCATGAGGAATTTGAATCTTTTGTTTCCAAGGGTGGCAGAGGTCTGAGGTGTGAATTGGTCATTACAATGTGTGACAAGCTTGATAGGAACATCCTGTGTTCAGTGTTTTGTCCATCTGAGAACCTTGAAAATGCTTTGCATGCATTTTTCATGATTCAAACTCAAGCGCTTATAAACGCGATTTGCAGCATGTAGGTGCATTTAGCTGCATTTACAAATGTTTTGCATTTGAAACGCTGATAAAATCGACGTCTGAACGCAGGTTTGTTGTGTTAACAAAAACTCAACTGCCTGTAAATGACTATAAACGAAGATGTGTACATGGACACATAGGAAAACAGGGTGAGTTCAGGGGCTGCTGAAAAATAACGTTGAACAGCTCCTAAACGTGAGTTTATCAGCTGCAGTGTACATGAGCCCTTAGTGTGGTGTGGGTCTTATATTAAACCTTAGAAAACAACATTAAAAATACACCATTTCTTTCAATAACATGCATGGGGAATGCGTTGAATGTGCACATGAAGTGGCACATTTGTAAGATGTTCTCCGGTGATGTAAAAAAATTATTTCACTAAATAGAGTGACACATGGAGTTAGGTGAGAATTTAGACTGATTGTCATAGTGATCCTGTTCCTGCGGAGTTGTCACCAGGAGTCAACTTCACTAATGTGACTTAACTCATACACACATAAACACAAATATACATCAAACAGACAAGCACTCAAACACACAAAACACACACATACTTAGACTAATTACACTCAAGAGACACAGACACACACACCAAACATACACATACATAGACTAAACACACACATGAAACCAGGGGCGGACTGACAACTCATGGGGCCCCCGGGCAATAGGGGCTCATGGGGCCCCTGTGTCCTCGCCCACACCCAAAAAAGCCCATGAAAAAGCAAATTAAGGGTACCAGGGGCATCTCATGGGGCCCCTACTGACCCCGGGCCCTCGGACAGTGCCCGAGTGCTCAAATGGTCAGTCTGCCCCTGCATGAAACACATACACATTTTAACACACCTACCTGAGCTCTGTCACATGTGTTGTTGCAGCAGCTGGATGTCTCTGCTATTAATTGTCTGGCTGTAAAGATCTCTTTCCACCTCTCCTTCAGCAGCCTCAGCTAGCCTGAGAGGAACTACTGCAGATCAACTGACAGAGCAGGACAAATATCTCACCTCTCCTGTTCTCTACTGGGACCCTCTCTGCCTTGAGTGCCATAGCTGCCAAATGGACCACTATGTCAGTAGTTATTTCACTGTATGTTGATTATTTGCTTCTACATGGAGCCCTCATCTTATGAAGGAGTGTGGTCTGTATTTGTGCTCTTACTTAAAAATAAACATATTTTTTATTTAATGTTTTAATTAATTGCTGGTGAATTAATGGTAATACATGCAAATATGCAAATATACATGCTTGCAGCTTCACAGCCAGGTGCCCACTGCGCATCCGTGACAAGCACTAAGCTTTGTGAATGGCCCCGTAGTCTTCTGGGACCTGTCACGTGTCCCAGAAGACTACGGGGTGGGAGGACAACTTCCACTTCCGATCGCCTAGGTGATTGCAGCGGAAGTGGGAGCGGGTACCTGTCAAATTCGGGTACCCGCTTCTCAAAGGTGCCAATCCTTAATGGGGAGCGGGGGACAAAGCATTAAATAGGAACTTCCCCTTTTGGGTGGAACTCCACTTTAAGAATCAAAAAGCATACATATTCCCCACTATGATGCACAAAAGGAAGTGGGCTACAATGTAAACAAGGTCTTGAATTGTAACTGGATCCTGCAAAGCATCATGTGCTGTGCAGAGGGCTCAGGGTTTTTTTTAACAGATTTAAACACAGATTCACTAAGCATGTAATTAGATGTAAAGGGACATATTTTATGCATCAGTAGCCCTCTTTTGGGGAGGAGTGGAAGAGTGAGATTGATAACAAAGTTGGCAGAGCCTCCACCCAGGAAAGGGCCTCTGTGAACAGCAGGGATTCCCTTTCTGAGAAATAACCAATAACCTATTCAAAGTAATTGGAACTACTGCAATCAACATATACCATTAACTATAAGCAAATACTGTAGATTCACACCAGTGTAGAAATAATACAAGCTTTATATAAGAAACAATTAATATCACTACATACATTCAATGCACAAACAAATATTATCGGCAAAGGGTCTGATAGGGTTCCTGGTGGAATGGTGCACATATACCCAGGTATATATTGTTATTTATAGAGAGATACCTCCAGATGCTTGTTGCAGCAAAGTCCATTTGCAGACCTCCTGAGAATGATGAAGCATCTGTCTTTGTGTTGGAGACCTGTAGACAAGATCTGCAGTGATGAGGAAACCCTCCAGCCTTTACCCAATCAGCCAGGAATACAGTCCTAGTTATCTGGCTCTGTGCATGTGGGATAATAATAGAAAAGATACTCTTTTTGTCACAAGGATGCAGCAATACACTCAAGGAGCTTTGGACAACTGCAGTTAAACTATTAGAGCATAAACATACTTGCATAATCATCTCTTCTGATCTGGTATTAGTAGCATGGACAGGTCATGAGACCTCTCTCCGATTCCTTCTTTTTACATACATAATCATACATTACAGTGTGATGCTAGCAGCTGATAGTAGAAGGCAGTGGATCTCTACACATCTAAATTAATCTCCTTCTTGGAAATGACACTGCCAGAAGGCATGCATTCAAATATGAATAAACATGACGTTAATTTTCATGAGGCCTAATTTAAATTGATCCCTTTTTTGATTGAAAATAGAGTTTTCAATAGAGTATAGAGTTGTATAAAAGAAGAGTGAGGAGTAATCAATGCTTTGACTTTTTATTTATGAAAATTTTACATTGAGCTCTGTAATCCAAAGGTTTCTTTGTATGTTTTTTTAAATAAAAAGCAAAGGAAACCCTGGAAAATGCAAACATGAGTTAGGAGCTTCAATTGCTGGCTTGACATGAAAAAAATGATATATATTATATGCAAAATGTCATATTTCTCATGGGAAAAGCACATGATTGCTTTAATATCCACTGCAAAGTAAAACTTGGATTTATAGTACTTCAAAGGCATAAAGTAACTGACTCTCATTAACAAGCCCAAACACCTAGTGACACATTAGTCCTTCCATGGTGCTTAACCAACTTTCTACCTCCATCTAAATTTGCCCTTCTAATTTTTGTACAGTAATATGAGTATTACATTTGGTTGTGATTTTAATAGACTAACCGTGGATACTTTGACTTTAAAGTGGACCTTTAATCAGAAAATTAAGTCCTGCTAGATCACCTCAGGCTGACCCCCTTTTCAGGTATAGTTAAGTAAAACATTAAAAATAGGTGCCTGTACTGTTTAAAATCCAGCAATACACTGTCTCACCCTACTGAGCACATGCTCAGTTACTCTTTATTTATAGGCATGGTGCCAAAAATGTAGAGACCAATCTGCTGACAGTATAATGATTTACTGCTGCTCAGGGGCTCTGGGCTTCAGTAAAATGTCAGCCTCTAGCATGAAGAAACAGGAACAATGCTGGAGGCAATTTACAGCACGCACTAATTTTTCTAACATAATTATTATTGTGGAATGTGTACTCCTTGCTAAAAAACATTATTTTTTTATCAAGTTATTTTTAAAAAATAAGCTTTTAGAGGCTTATCTATGAAGCCAAACTATGGCGAAAAGTAAAAAAATGACATACATGATATGGTCTCTTAGTAGCATTTACACAGACGTTTTTGTTTTTATGGTTGCTCTTGTAACATTGTTTTATTACCTGTTGATCCAGCCAGTAGTTATTTTTCAATTTCCTTTACCAGACTAAGACATTCAGCAATAACAGTTTTAGGGTTAAGAAAACTATTTATCACTGACAGAGGTGCTTACAAATGTCAGCTTTTATTCATTTATTTGAAACCTTTATCCCAAATAGATAAAACCAGATCCTGTCACTGCTTAAAAAGTATGAGCTGGAGGTAGGTTTCATTAGTTAGTCCCTTATGTAAAGTCCATCTATATCTACCAGTTCATCTAGCACTACCCTCTCTACCGGGTTGTAATGCAGATGTCTGAGGTGGATATGTTGCCTCTCTGTAGAGTGAAGGAATTTAGGCCATGCTTAGTCAGGGAGTATGTTACTTGCCACATCACAAGGTAAAAAAAGGAGCAAAGGCTAAAAAAAATAAAACTAATGCAGCAAACACATCTACGAAATAGTAAGCTGCAATATATTATTTTTTTGATTTTTGTTTTAAATACACTTTAACTGAGGTTGAATCCAAACACATACTCATACCTGTGTCTGATGTACAGTAATTTCCATCAGACACTTTCATTTTTCACAGCAACAAGTGGAGAGGATGAATGCCAACATATACAAATATAGACTATAAGTAAATTATCAATTGCTTGCCATCAAATGTGTGTCAAATTTGCACCACTGTGAACAACTGCAATAAAATTAGCAAATCTTCAATTCAATAGAGGATGGTGGCTGTAACATTTGCTATGTACAGTATGAATGTAGTAGATATTTTAAGACTTGGACTTCCATTATAGATTTTGAAATCCAGGTGTGAAGTGTACTTTGCAAAAAATATGATGGTTTCTATCAAGCAAGTAATTGGGGAATGAATGAGAAACAAATAGTTTGTCCATTGATAACGTTACAGTATATAACTCTGAACAGCTTCATAATTCATTCTTTCCAATTGAAGTAATGTTCTTTTTTGTATCTGACTGGTCTTAATGTTGATAAAACATTTTTTCTCAGGTTTTATCTACAAAATATAAAGTGGTAAAAAGTTACAGTTTAAAAATACTACTCCGCTCTTAAGAAAAAAAACCGAAAAAAAACCAGTGAAGTAAAAAGATAAAGATGTCCCTTAAAACGATACATATATGGTTTATTTTTCATGCCTCTGTTAACTTAAAATACCACATAAGAGACTAAAGCAGAAAAGAGGAAATGCGGTGGAAGTTCAAGAAACTTTACTGAACTAGCGATTTGGTAAAGTCATGTGCAAAATGCTTTAATAAAAGGAAGTCAGAGGTATGATTTCAGAAACTTTCACAGCCACCGGTCTTGTTTTGAACTGTTAAAGTGTAGATATTTTGAACATTCAGAAGATTAACAAGCATTGCTAACTTGGAGAACAAACAGGAACACATTAATATTTCAGATGACACTAACCTCAGTAATAAAATTGGAAAACTCAAATTAGCGTGGGTTAAGAGGGAGGCAG